CACACACACACACACACACACACACACACACACACACACACACACACACACACCCTTAAGAAATAAACAGAATGTAATACTGACAGACAGAGCAACAGTAGAGGGAAGAACGCCTGCGTGTGTTTAGGAGTCTGTGTTCCTGGTACAGATGGTATCTCAGCCTCTATAATGTAGAATTGTGTGTGGGACTGTGTGTGTGTGTACATGTGGCATACCATGAGTCAGACTTTTGGGTACACTGAGAGACCGACAGACATGATAATAGTCACCTCCACGCACATACTCACACAGTGTCACACCACGAGGAGACGGAGAGCCACACAGCCAGTCTGACAGACAGACTGGCTTAGCAGACACACATATAGCAGCCATGTAGCCAGCTAAATGGTCCGCTACAGCCCTGATTCAAGGGGAAGGGGGCCAATAGGGAACCTAGCTTTCTCTCTAGCTCTTCAAACAACCATCTAATCCTAACTGTAGCTCCACGATAAGCTAAGCTCTCCAGTCCTGAGTAATGTACTCACTATCCCAAAGTTTTACATAGTAAAAAGTTAACCCAGATTAGAGGAGCTTAAATACCTTGAATGGTTCTTAGAGGAGAACGTCATGTTTTCAGGAGTTGACTTCAGTGCAACATGCTAATATTTTGGGACTGTGTTCAGGTGGTAGTGCTATTTGTTTGTTTACCTATAACTATAATGCATGCGTACATATTCATGGTCACGTTGTGGCTTGTTTCTAAGGTTTAAGACCCACTGTTCCACTAGCAAGAATAAATAAATTGACACACAGACTGTGTATAAAGATGGACGACATGCCAGCTCCCCAAAAGTGAGGCCAAAGTGTCTACATTGATAAATTAATGGGTAAATCCTCACGCACCACACACTGGTTGCTAACAGACAGAGCAAACAAATCATTGACCTTTTTTACTCTAATGCGGCTCTGAAGAGTGAGCAGCTGAAAGGCTGATATCTGACCGGGAAGCCTTGAAAGTACACAACACTTTGAGGACTTACAACACACACACAAGTTGATTTTGAGAGATATTGTGCAAGGGGCCCGTGCTCCACTCACACCCATAATTTTACAAACCTCTACCTTCTTAACTAATGAATCAGTGTGTACATAATGGAACTGCCTCTGTAGAACTCCTACTCTTATCTTAGTCAAGCACTGTGGAATGAAATCAGAGGAGAAGAAGCTATGTGAACTACAGTATAAGCTAAGGAAGAGCCTTACCTGGTGATCATGGGCAATGTGGTCCTTCTCTTTCAGCAGGCCACCATGACACCTCCCAACTCCTGAAACAACAATAAGGAGGAACGTAGGTAAGACTTGAGGAAGAATAGTCAACAATAGCAAGAGTGAAGAAAAAACTTTAAAAACAACAATTAAAATAACAATTACTTGATAAACATTCACACAAAAAAAATCGGCAACAACATGCTGAAGTCAACATAAAGTCAGTGTACCCTTTGCTATCTATCAAAGTTCAGTTTAACAACAATAGCCAGCCATTTTATTCATCCATAGATCTGCAGCCTGAAATTGGTCTGCAGTGATGTGCATTGAGGATGTTGAACAATTTTAGTAATTTTAGGTCAAGTTCATGTGGCCCTGTTCAAACTTGGCATTAACGTTTGTCCTCAGAATTCAGTCAGAGCTATTGGACGTCAATAACTCCTCTTGGTGTCTGTGGTGTATTCACACCTAGAACTGTGTTCAACAGTGTTGATCGGACAATCCACAGCAAGTTCAAACCAGGTGTGAATGGAGGCAGTGTGAGTTAAGGCAGCAGTCAGCATTTCATTAGCACTTTAGTGAGAGGTTAGAAAACAATCAGAGCTCAGAGCTTCTTATTCCCTTTGCTTCATGCATTTGTGACGTTTGCTGACTGTTCTGTGCTCATGCTGTTGTCGATATGTCATTCGGTGTGGCTTATGAAACCACAACGTGTGTGTCAGCCAAAATGCACAGCAGGGCCTGGACCAGCGCTGTGGCCATCTGTGTGTGTGTTCCTCATGTGCCGCCTGTTCAGTGATTCATAGTGTCAGTGCTGGGCCACATGACTGAGAACAGGTGGCACTCTGGTGTACCTCCCCAGCCCCAAAACACACACACACACACCACCTGTGATGTGCTTAAACATTAAAGCAGGCAAGGTTACACACACGTGCCACACACAATACAGATACAGCAGAAAAACATAGAAATGGAACACACACACACACACACACACACACACACACACACACACACACACACAGATCAACACTAATCTTGTCCTCCTCCTCCTCCTCCTCATAACACACATAACCAGTCTTCTCCTTCCTTGCTCCGTTTGACCTACAAACACACATTGTGTCCACTATGCTTTAATGGAGACTGTACAACAGAACTGTATTGTTGGTGTGTGTGTGTGGAATAGCAAAGTGAATAATCTATTGGACACATGCAGAGAAATTTTAATCTCACTCTGATATTCATCCTACAGAGCACACCTACACAAGGCGGCTTTTGACCATGTACACACACCCAACCACTGCATGGCCAAGGGCAGGTTGTGTGTGCGCATGTGTGACTGGTGTGTCAATATGAGGCAGATCGAACTGGCTCAGCCATCACTGATCTTGCAGCATGGTGGTTAGAGCTTCCAACCTTTGAACTCAAGGTCAAAGGTCAACCCCCCTAAAGGGCCACAGCTAGTCACACTGTAAAGGAGTAAACCTGCTCTGTGTTTGTTTGTGTATGTGTGGTATGTCGATGGGAAAGAGAGAATGTGGATATACTTTGAGTGAGGACGCAGAACAGGCGAGTGTCTGTTGCAAGGGTCAAAAATATTTTTCATGACACATTGAATAAAGTGTCAAGATTTGACAGAATTGTTTGACCTTGATCGATATCAGGACGGTAGCAAGAGGAGTAAGGGGGAGGGTTTTTAAACAGTGAAAGAGAGAGGCCTTGAGAGGGGAGGAGGGAGCATGGCAAGCTGTATGAAAATGACAAAATTAGAGAAAATGGTAATTAAATAAACGTTTAAACTGTATTTGTATATGAATCGAGTGACAGATAAAGAGACCATGTAAGGGAGAACCTGAGGGAAATAATGACAGGTGGAGTGAGAGATAGAAAAATGCTGAAAGTGTTTGTCTTCTGTATGTAAAGGTTAACCAGTGGGAGTGTCTCCCTTTGACATTAACCAGCACAGAGAGAGGGGTAGAGCAACAGAGACTCTGCTCAGAGGTAAAGAGCAGGGGAGATGAAGAGTTAGAGAGGGACGGAAGACAGAGAGAAAGCCTTGGGCCAGACAAAAGATGAAAAAAGAGAGGAAAGAACAAGATAGCATAAAAGGGCTAAGGAGAGAGTGAAAGCAGAGCAGGGCCAGAGAAGAACCCGCAGGTGTGTGTGCTAAAGAGAAGTATGGACACAGGCTAAACACAGATACACATGATATGATATAAACAACACACTTGTATGTCGACCTGTAGCACATGAACACCTGTGTATCGTTTTAAATGCGCGTTGCTACTTCTCTGCATGCTGTACATACTTAACCTAGTGCAAAGTCAAATCTGATTAACACATTCACTTTTTGGCAAAACACATGTGTTGGAGCCTGCATGGCGTGAGTAAAATAGCCATGATTGGGCTGCTCCAGTCCTTAGTCACTAGTGATTCACTGGGTCTCTTCATGTTAGGGCAACAGGCTTCACACCTGCACGCACACATAAAGGCCTTCTACAGGAGCGGTGGTGAATGATTGACTTTTCTTCTTTATTGTCTTTCAATGTAGATTCACTTTCTGCCTGTCTCTCTTTGTGCCATGAACGATTGTCTGCTGTGCTTGCTGTTATGTGTTTAAAGGCAGTCACTCAGGACAGATTAAATCCTTAAGTGATCTTTTAACAGTATCACTAGCCGTGGGGTTTGTGTGTGTGTGTTTATTATGATCTGCATGATCAGCATGTGCAGATTAAGGCGCTAGTCATGAGATGGGACTCTTGTTTTTGAAGAACTTAATTTCCTTGGAATGCTGTCACACCACATCCTGAATATGTGTGTTAAATGAGGATGTGGGTAGATAAGGACACACACATATAGGATGGATGTGGGTAGATAAGGACACACACACATAATATATATATATATATATATATATGAGGGCACTGTTTGACTGTCAAAGTCAGGTGGTTACTTGCCTTAATCACTCACTTTTGCCCAGTTTACAGATCGCAGTGGATCATTTTCAGCTGGTTGGTTAAAACTTTTCAGACTAAGGTTTTTTCATTATATATCTCCTCTAATCCTTCAAACTTAAACAGTTAATAAAACTTGTCTGTTTATGTAAATCCTATCATGTTGACACGTTGGTATTTGAAAAACTACTCCAATATATCAATCATCAAGCTACTCAAATTCAACATTAAAGATCAAACTGGGTGGAGGACGTACTATTTCTAAGTGCATGTGTGAGAAAGGCAGTAAGACTAGCAGAGCTACAAAAAGTGAGGAGGAGTGTCAGGTCGTCTGTGGTCGGGGCTGTTTGGCTCGGTGAACTTCTGCCATATGGCTTTAGCAAAAGGTCATGGTAAAAACCAAGTCTGGCTCAAAAACCATCACACCCACCTCCAACTCCCACACACGGAGGAATGGATGAAGTGACAGACAAAACAGACAGTCTTCCTCTCTCTTAGGAGACAAGTAGGAAAATGACAAGCACATAAAGAGGAGTGTGACAGACAGACTAACCCAACAAGAGTCACAACACAGACACACACCCTGAGAATGTCTGAAAACCCTGCAGCAGTGAGCGCACGAACAGAAAAAAAGACGACGAGAAAGAGAAGACAAGAATGAGCAGTTGATAATAAATCGTCTAGACAGCAGCTAATGAAAACAGCCCGACAGTGGCTGCTTCCAAAATTGAGACCTGTGAACATGGTGTGTGTGTGAGTTGTTTGAATAAATGTGTACATGAGTGCTTGATAAATTAAACCCATTAACACTTGCCATATGCTGATTTTACCTTCACTGTCTTTTCTCTCTCTCTCTCTCTCTCTCTGTCTCCGTCACACACGCACAAACAAACCACAGCTTCCTAGCAGTGTGCGTCCCTCACAGCTGAGTTTAGAGCCACAGCAGTCGACGCCAGCACAGTCTTGTGACGTCAATCCAAAATAAAACACAGCTTTTTCATCCAACTCGGAGTCATCCATTACATCCCTAAAAACAGCATCTAACATAACCAAGTGCAGAGCACAAACTCCTGAACTTTGTTACAGCAAACTTTACTTTATGGATGTTCCAGATTTTTGTTTATCATTATATTACAAAACTGTTGTTTGACTGCCTACAGAGGGAGTCTAAAAACTCACATCTGGCTGAAAAGATAAAAAACACCAGCTTTAACAGACTGAAAATGCGGCATCACGACTTTGTAACAACCAGAATGTCACATTCAACTGGAGAAGAGACCTGAAGTGACACTGGCTGTGCTGATCGCCGATCATAAGTAATAAGTAACACTGTTGTCAGAAAAACAAAAGTCTCTGAGAACATCAGATCGTTTATAATGACACACTCCTGACAGCCAAGAACAACATTAGAATGAGGAGGAGGAGCAGGCAGTTAACATGTCTAAACTCGCTTCACACATGCAAACACACATACGCTGTTTGAGAAATGTGGCCCTGGGGCGTCCCAACAATATAAACACTTAGAAAAAGAAGAAAAGAAAGTCATCTCTTTGTTGAAGGTGGTAAGTGGCAGGACCCTGATAATGAGTCATAACAACAGTATTTTACCTGTGAAAGAACTCACTGAGTTGTTGTTTTTTTTGTGACTGTGTTAAATGCTTTAGGCATTATCCTTAGATGCACTCGAAAGCCTCTTACACACATGCACAACAAACCTGAACATTACCTTTATAGGAACTGTATGTGTGAGAGCAAATCAGGTAAACCGCTGAGCAGACTTTACCCTCCCTAAGTACAAAGTCAGATTAATGTCTGGGCTGATGTGTAAATAGCACAGGTTGTTGTCTAGAGATTTCTCAGAGACCATGTGTTGGCATGTTGATGGCGTTTCTATTCTGCCTCCTGCAGGGTCTACCCAGTTCCCATCCCTCTCCTGAACCAGTGGACTATTTCCAGAGAGTGAGAACATGTCAAACATGGAAAATAACCACTTGTGTGCTACACGTGTGCGAGGGCAATTCCAGGCCATTGTGTGAAGTTCATATGTGGAAACAGTGTTACACTCTCACTGGGGCCGATTGTCCTGTGTAACAGATACAGAGCTG